CACTTCTCTAAGTCTAGGTATAGTCCTACTTCTTTTAATAGTATAAGTACACGCTTTACTTTTTCTATATAGTTAAACTAGTCTCCTCCTAAATAAATTAGGATATTATTAAGGTAGGCTATTATATATAATCTAAGTAACTCTATAAGCGCAGTATTAATATATTATTAGAAAGTAGATAGCGCACTACTAAGACTAAATAGATATACTAACTATTTATATAACCTAAACTAGGTATAGAAAGCTATTAAAGACTTATAACCTTCTACTATTCTAACTTTATAAAAGGTAGCGTAAATATCTACTTTTATAAACTAATTTACGCTAGATAGTATACGCAAAGTTTCCTTAATAAGTAGTAGTAGGTATTAGTCTAATATTATTATACTATTAAGTATCTAGTAATCTATATAAAGGCGCTAACTGCCTAATAGCTTCTTTACTAGCAACACTAGAGCTCTAGCTATAGAAGAGCTTGCTTAGATCTAGCCCTTATCTATTAATCTAGTAAGTTATATTCTTAGTTCTAGCAATTAATTATAAGATATAGGGTATAGGGGACCCTATAGGGGGTTAGGCTAGGTTCTATCTAGGAGAGTTATTAACTAAATATAGTAATCTATACTACCCTAATAGGGCGGCAAACTGCTTGCTAACTCTTTGTTAAATAGGTCCTTAAACTCTTATAGTTCTAGTAGCAACTTTGTCTTTCTAGTTTTATACTTAGGCTTATAGGGAACTATACTATTAGCAATATAGATAGTGTGTATATTAATAGGACTTCCCTTATTAACACTTCCTAGATATTTTATTAGGCGTAAGTTATATATTACCTATAAAATATCTAGTATATTTATTATAAAAATTTATACCTATATATCTTCCTATTAGGGTCCTTAATTTAGCAACCCTACTATAACTAAACCTAAGATAATAGAGATATAGGTAGGATATAGGCGTCTCCTGCTCTCTTATACTACTATATTTCCTACCTTCCTAATTATTAATTTGCCTTATAGAATGTCTATAATAACGCCCTCTCTGCACAGCTATAGTCTACCTAGTATTAGTTAATAGGAGAGACTAGGTACTATATAGGCTAAAAGCTAAGACTACTAACTATCTAAATTATAGTCTAATACTACTAACTATAAAATTCTTATACCCTTAGCAATTCCCTAGGCATGTTGCAAGGGTTGCGGGGGAATATCTATAAAGTTCCTACTAATCTATCTTGCTAACTTTTCCTTAACTGCACTAAAATACTAGCACCCTAAATTAACTATCGCTTGCAGGTTCTCTACTCTACCTAGGAGGAGGGTAATAAAGAAAGGAAGGATTATTTAACCTAGCCTTAATATCTAGGGGACACTTAATAGCCTCTAC